AGAGCAGTAAGATTCCTGGAGACATAGACCCCAAACCCATGTCAGCCTGACGTGCAGCTTTGCCTGAGCTGAAGACTTGCCTGTCCTTTCAGCGGGTTTGGCTGACTGTTTCCTTCTTAAACAGCTGTTAGCAGTTTGGTCTGAAGCTTCCTGAGGTGCATGCCAGGAGCCCTGCTCAGCTGGGGATATAAGCCGAGACTTCTATTACTTGGCACCAGGGTTATTAAAAATGCAAACTGCTCTGTAAGCAGGGCTGCGTGCAGGTTCAGGGCCGCAGCACTGGAGTCTTGTCACCTTATCAGCCCGTGCAGCTTTCCCAGCTGTACTGCCAGACAGAGGTCAAAGTCCACAGCTCCCTGGCTGCAGTCTGAGCACAGCCAGCCTGCCCACACCAAGCCAGGCAACACCCAAACCCTGAACGGCTGAACAGCACCAAGCCTTATATTCACGAGGCAGGGGCACTCCTTGACTCGGCCATTAAGCTCTTATTCCCATAATGAACTTTCTCAGGAGTCCAGGCTGGCTTGTTTGGCTCTGGTAGAAAGGAATCAAATTGTATTTGGTGCTCCCTGCTGGCCTGACCAAAAGCCCAGGCTCTAGCATGGGAGCCCCAAGTTGTGCTAGCAGCAAAAATTGCCAAGTTCTGTAATGTCCCAGGGCACGAGTGGCTTGGGTCATGTGTCAGGAGTTACGTCTGCTGAAGGTTTCAGTCCTGGTCAGAGCCCAGCTGAGAGTTTTCCTGAACTGATAGACAGATCCTTCTTAGCCCAAATGGCAAGATCCTCTGCCAGCTCCCAATTACGTGGCCGATACCTGTGCTGCTGACAGTACTGAAACCGGAGCTTAAATGCTTACTAACGGGCCTGAAAGACAGCAGTTTGCAAGGTTGTAGCTGTGGCTGACTGTCCCGTTTGGTCTCAGCCCTGGCTGCCAGTCCCTGTATCTTTGAAGTGGCTGCTGCTCAGCTGAAGGCTTTGGCCCAGGTGTTTTCCCTTCAGAGCAGAAGGCTGCAGGGTTCATTTGCCCAGGGGCTGATGTAGCAGAGAGCTGGGCAGAAGTGACCCGTTGCTCCTGACATCTGCAGACTTTGGCACCCCGTCACTCTGAGCTGGGAGATCCCCCATCTCCTCGCAGGTCCTGGGGAGACCAGCCTGGCCTTCGTATGGCTTGCAAACCTACAGGCACAGAGCGTTTCTGGGGCTTGGGTTCTTACAGGAAATGCCAGCCCTTTGCTCCCCGCCGAGGCAGTGTGGGAGGAGGTTTGTTCTGCGGTGCTTCATCAGCACTTTGGAAGGAGGCTCGGGGGGTGCTGGGGAGGCTGCTAGCAAGCGCCTCTCCTTCCACTCCCAACCAAGTTAGCTGTTGTTGTGGGCAAATACCCCAGTAAACGGAGAAATCCTTCTCCTCCTCAGGCGCATAACGTGGGGGAAGTACGCAAACTGTGGGCAAACCTGCATTGCCCCGGATTACGTCCTCTGCGACCAGGCCATCCAGAGCAGAGTGGTGGAGAACATCAAGAAGACCCTGAAGGTGAGCATTCAAGTTGCTCGTGCATTGGAAACCTGTGCACGGTCGTCTGTCCCAGCAGCTGTCCCTGGGGCTTCCATGATTACAAACTTGTATTTCAGGCTTGAGAAGTTTTCTTAAGAGGTTTTGTAACCTATTCCACCACTCCCGAGCCCTTGGCAGTGCTGCGTATTATCTTCTTTACAAGAGTGGTGCCACTCGTTCATGCTGGTGCCAGCCCTGTTTACCCAAGACGGTTGGGTTTCAGTGCTCTGCTGCTGCGGCAGTTTCCATACACAGTAGCTCCCTCAGAGCAAAGAGTGGGTTTGTGGGAGACACCGCAGGTGTTTTGGAGAGAGAAATGGTCCAGCCTGAGCAGTGGGGGGATTCTCAGCCTTTGTGGCAACTCATTGGTTGCCTGCGGTGACTGCCCAAGTGACGAAACTTTTCCAGCTTTGATCCTTTCTCGCCCCACAGGAATTCTACGGGGAAGATGTGAAAAATTCCTCAGATTATGAAAGGATCATCAACAAGCGCCACTTCAAAAGGGTGATGAGTCTGCTGGAAGGGCAGAAGATAGCACATGGAGGGGAGGCTGACGAGGCCACCTGCTTTATAGGTATTCTGCCTGCGCTGGCGGAGAAGGAGGGGCCGGTGGGGAGCTGCTAGCTGTGTGCCGCAGCTGGCCTCCCTGCTTAGGCGTTTGCTGGCTTGCCCTTCCAGCTCTTGGGCTTTGCAGGGAATCCAGTGGGTGCTTATGGGTAGGCAGACAGTTCATCTGCAGGAAAGGCCTCCTGCAGCCAAACAGCCTCTCAGTGCCAGAAGTGGCTGAAAAGACTGGCTCTCTTCAGTGAGGAAAGAAGAAGGATGTGGTTGAGGGCTGTACGGTGACGTAGGGGGTGGACAGCGTGAACAGAGAAGTGTTATTCACCAAGCCTCGTGATACAAGAACTAGGGGGCACCTCTGAGATTTGCAGGGGAGAGGTTCAGAACAACAGGGAGCACCTTTCTGCGCTGCGCACAGCTCACCTCCAGAGCTTGTTTTCACAGGGGGGTTTAGAGGCAGAGACCATGACCAAATTCAGAAGAGACTGGACAGATCCATGGAGGATGCGCCCATTGTGAGCTGTTAAATAGAACGGGGATGTATCCTCTGAGACCCCCAAATCCTTGGTCGTTGATGTCGGAGGGGGTATGACAGTGGGTTATGCTACACGTGCCCTGTTCACGTGATCTCCCTCTACTGCTGTCAGGGACCGGACCCTGGGCTGGATGGGCTGTTGGTCTGGCCTAGTACGGCACTGCTTATGTCCTTGTAACTCTCAGAGGAGAGGACTGTGTGGAGGCCTTTTAAATCTTCATTTTCCTCAAGGGTAAAGTATCGGGGAGCTGCTAAATAACAGCATCAGTCCCCCATCTCTTCTGGCCCATCCTTTGGACCCTTCAGGCTTCCGCATGGTTGAACCTTGTGGTACCAGTTTGAAAGGGACCTTGGGGCAGGAAGCTTCTGCCTTGGCTGCGTGGATGGTAGACACACAGCAGTGCAGATCTTCCGCCTTTTCTAAAAGGGACCAGAGCAGGAGTCAGCAGACCTGGACCTGGCTTGGGTGCCAGGTGACCTTAGCTCAGTTACTTGACATGCCCCAAATGACACATACCCTGCGGGGTGGGGGTGAGGTGGTTTGCAGCAGAGCACTGGCTTCTCCATGCCATGGTGCCCCTGATTTGCTGTCCTGTACGTTGCAGCTCCAACGATACTCACCAGCGTGAACCCGGAATCCAGGATCATGCAGGAGGAGATTTTTGGGCCTGTCCTTCCCATCGTGACTGTGAAGAATGTGGATGAGGCCATTCAGTTCATAAATCAGCGGGAGAAACCACTCGCCTTGTATGTATTTTCCCATGACAAAAAGGTAGGTTTGTTCTCCAGTTGGAGGTAACTCTCTTGCTTGCTTTTAAGTGCTGTACCTCATTCCCTTCTCCCCTTGTCCCCCCTGGCATCATCATGTGTTTGGCTTTCACTGGTGCAAACCGCCGGCTCTTGCACTATGTGATATGAGATATTTTGAAACCTTTTGCAAGCTCCCATGCACTTCTTAAGGGCAGTAGGGTTTAAGTGACATCCTCCAGCTCTCAGCCCATCCCCCAGCCACACGTGGAAGCGCAGCAGGGAGTGGGTGGTGACTTAGACATCTGGCTCAGGCCTGTTTACACACAGATCGAAAGTGTGTTATGCAAGAAGCTGCTGCTTGGCAAAGGAGCAGAGACCAAAGTGCCAGTTGAGCAATGCCTGGTTGATAACAAGCAGGGTGTGTTCACCTGTAACGTGACTGGGCGAATCGTGCTTCTGGGTGGTTGAAGGTCCCAGGCAGTACGGTGCTCTCCTGCTTAGTAGGCACACTGCTGCAAGGCAGGGCACCACCAAACCAAAGCACAAGGCAAGTGTCTGGGGAGCTGACCCCAGCAGGGCTCAGCTGCTGGGTGCCATGCCACTGACTTTAGAGAGTGGGCACATCTGCAGTGGAGGTAATGGGGTCTAGAGACTTTCTGGTCCTCCAACAGGGAAGACCTGGGGGTGAGCTTAGCTACTATGTGTGGAAAGGGTTATGGCACCCAGAGGAGGCTGGTTATCAGGCAGCTGAAGCCTGCACGCATAGGCCTTTCCAGCAGAGATGTTCTCAGCATTACGCTTGGCCCCGGGTAGCCTGCCTGCCTGCCAGCCCATGGAGTGCAGCAGGGAGCCACCCTGGCACCATCAAACCTGCATTTCGTAGCCGGTGGGTTGTGAGAGCATCTCCCGAGTTAGCCAGACCCCAGGTTCACTCCCGGAAATGGCCTGGGCCTAGGCCCTGTTGGCTGGGCCTAGGCTAGAAAGGAGCCGTCCCATGCCAGAGCTGTGGGACGGTCAATCCACTTCATGGCCTCCCAAGTCTCATTGCACTTGGCTTTGGAGCGTTGCCCCCATGAAAGCAAAGTTTAAGAGCATGAACGTTTGTGCTGCAAGCAGCTGAGGTGGCTGGGAGGACGGTGTGTGCTGGGCGTGCTTTTGGGACTGCCACGGTCAAAGTTCAGCCCTTAAGTTTGTGCCAGGGGGATGTTTCCCAAGTATGCCTGTCTAGGCAACGCTAGGCCACAGAGAGAGAGCGTGAGGGGCCATCACCCTTGATCAGCACATAGAGGCTGTGCTCGAAGCTTGTCCTGGGTTGGTTCTGGGGTTTCTGTGACGTCTCTGTTGTCCACTAGCTGATCAAACGGGTGATTGCGGAGACCTCCAGCGGTGGCGTGACAGCGAACGATGTCATCATGCATTACTCCCTCCCAAGCCTGCCCTTCGGCGGAGTTGGTGAGTCCCTTCCAGCTTCTGGTGCTCAGGTGCCCACCCAGAGCCTGCCACTGCGTGCGGAGCTTTCTTGCGCAGAAACATGGGGCCGTGTTCTCTGCAGCAGGCGCTGTCTGGACCCGCCTCCCTGCCCTAGAAACACCGCTCCCCAGGGCCAGGTGCTGACTTAGACTCCAGGGCTGTTCAGCCCTTGCATAGTTTCATAGATTTAGGGTCGGAAGGGACCTAGTAGATCTTCTAGCCCGACCCCCCGCCAGGGCGGGAGAACAAAAAACCCCAAAACAAAAACGGGACTCAAATGAGTCCAGCCAGGTAGGCATCCAGCCTCTTCTTAAAGACCCCCAGGGTAGGGGCCAGCACCACTTCCCTTGGAAGTTGGTTCCAGCTCCTAGCCGCCCTAACTGTGAAGTAGTTTTTGCGGATGTCCAATCTATACCTCCTCTCCATCAACTTGTGCCCATTACTCCTTGTTATGCCAGCGGGCGCTAGGGGAAACAGCGTCTCCCCCAAACCCTTCTGGTCCCCCCTAGTGAGTTTATAGACGGTCACCAGGTCCCCCCTCAGCCTTCTCTTGTGGAGGCTGAATAGGTTCAGGTCCCGCAGTCTCTCACTGTAGGGTCTGCCCTGTTGTCCCCGGATCATGCGGGTGGCCCTCCTCTGGACCCTCTCCATGTTGTCCACATCCCTCTTGAAATGGGGCGCACAGAACTGGACACAATACTCCAGCTGTGGCCTGACCAGCGTCGCGTAGAGGGGGAGGATCACCTCCTTGGCTCTACTCGAGATGCACCTGTGGATGCACGACAAGGTCCGGTTAGCCCTGCCAACCCTGACCTCGCATTGTCGGCCCATGTTCATCTTGGAGTCAAGAATGACTCCAAGATCTCTTTCTGCCTCCGTGCTCTCAAGTAGGACGTGCCTGCCAGGGACTCCAGTCATGCTGGGGGCTTTGTGCTGTAGGACCCAGACTGGGGCCCTCCAAACACCTGACACAGGACAAGTGACTCTGATAGGAGTCATTCTGGTCATGGGCTTTCTCTTCAGCCCCCTCTTTGTCCTTGTGCTGCCTGTCTGCTCCCCCTGGCCCAGCCAGCATCATGCTAACTAACATGCGTTGCTCTTAGGGACCAGCGGGATGGGTGCTTACCATGGCAGGCACAGCTTTGAGACCTTCTCCCATCGCCGCGCCTGCCTGATCAAGTCGCTGGGCTTGGAAGGCGCGAACAAAATCCGATACCCGCCCGGCAGCCAGAAGAAAGTGGACTGGGCGAAGTTCATCCTCTTGAAGAAGTTTAACAAAGGCAAAATCGGCCTGATCGTCATGGCAGTGCTGGGGGTCCTGGCAGCCCTTCTAGTCAAGGTGAGCCTGGGGATGGGGACATCGTCCATGCAGCAGCGTGTTTCGTGGGAAGGCTCATTTCTGAGCTTTTCTTAGCCATGCGCTCACCTCTCTTCCAGCCACCGCCCTTCCGTGGGGGCAGGTCTGTTCTTGCCCTCCCCTTGGAAACTGGTGTGAGCCAGCTGGAAGCACTAGAGCCTGCCTGTCTTCCACTTGAGCAAGCAGGCACCATGGTGTTAATGGGGCCAGGCTGGTTCTTGGGGCGAATCGAGTCTGCACCACTTGCTGCTCTGTGACACCTGACGTGCATGAGGAGGGGGCAGCTGGGACCTGGCACGATAGGATCCGCCCAAGCTCGGGGAAGCAGGTGGCACAAGCTGCTTCCACAACTCGTCCTGCATGAGTTGGTTTTGGCAGTGGGGTTTGGCTGCCTTCCTCCTCATCCAGGAGGCAGCAGGGCAGAGTGGAAGGCAGGTGCATGGCTGGAGGGCAGGCCAGATTAGGGTTTGTCCCTGGCTGTGCCACGGCTGTCCTGTGGGACCCTGGGACGTTGCTTCTTCTCTGTGCCTCCGTCTCCTTTGCATAAGGCGGGGGGCAGGCTGCAAGGGGCAGGTACGGCTCTTCCCAGGCTCAGGTCAGTGAGAAAGGAACGGGGCAGCTTCCTGCAGCCCAGCCCAGGTACGGCAGGCAGATTCCCACAACCCTGCAGTGGCTTCCTCTGCGTCTTTCCTGCCACGGCCGGGGCAAGAGCTGTGGCTGGGAGGACACGGGTAGAGCAGGCGTGTGCTCGCTAGGCAGGAGCTGATAAGAAACAGCAGAGCTGCCGTTGGAAGTTGGGCCCAGCTCCACCCTGCCGGGGAGCCTGTCTCCACGTGGCTAGCCCCGGGGGCTGCCAGGGGCAGGTGGAAGAGCAGCTCCTGGCAGGCAGGAGGCAGCCAGCCCCTGTGAGAGGTCTCAGCCCAGTGTGTAGTAGCTGGAGATTGAAGCCTCGTTCCCCTCCCACAGCTTGTACCCCAGATGGGTGCAAGGTCCCTCCAAACTGATCATGCCAGTGTTGTGGCCAAACCCCTCACTGTCCCTCACCCCTCTGCACATCTCCTTGCGCTCAGCGTACTCAGCTGCATTTCCCAATCGTTTGGGTTTTCCCAGAATCACCAGCCCCTGCTGAGGAGAAAAGCCCTCTTGGCTGTGCTGGCAGGTCAAAGACTGGCTCAGCTCTATAAGTACTGATGAGCAGTGGGGTTTCAAACCCAGCCATTGCTGTGAGCAAGGTAGGATTGTCTTCTTTTAGCGCACGGGCCTGGTTGGAAATGGGGCAGGGAGTGCTGGGCTGGCGTCCTGCACTGCTGGCTTTGCTCTGGGGCGTCACTCGGAGGCATCAGCCCTGTAGCGTGAAGTGTGCCCCGCAGGCCAGGACAAAGCAGCCCTTCTGGATCTTGCGCTGTATCCACGTGGGAAAGAGGAATCTGCCTCTGCCCTTGGAGCAGGGATTGATCCCCTCTTGGCTGGTTGTAGAGCTATTCTCCCTCCCTTTGTCTTCACAGATGGCTCGCTAGTAAGAGACCTGACATGGCTGGCTGTGAAACACATGCTGTCCCTGGACCCTCAGCACCTGCTTCCCGTATTCATGTCTTTGCTTACGAGGTTCTTCCTCTTTCTGTGAGATGTCAAGCACACAAAGCATAAATGCACTAATCGATGCCGGGGGGCCCAGACTCTCATTCGGACACCAGTGGGCAGAAACCATCGATCGTGCCATTGGCAAGGAGGTAAAGGAGAATGGCCAAGCAGGAAGCCAGCTCCCTCCCTCTGCAGCTCCCCCTGGGCTTATGACATAGCTGCGAAGACCTTGCCTTCTGCTTGTGCCCATGCCCGAATAGCAGCTCCTGAACTCCTGCTCGGCTTTAAGGGACCAGCAGTTGGATTTCGAACTCGGTTTTGTGAGCTGTCTCAGGTCGCAGCTGCTGCCCCCTCCCTCCCACCTCCCCAAAAGGAGAAAACTTGGACCTGAATGATCTTAACTGAAAGAGCAAACACAGCAAGAGCAGCAGTGCCTTCCATAGCCCCAGGAGCAGCCGGAGGCCAAGTATCTACTCGGCTCTTTCCGAGGTCTCAGCCATCGTGTTCCCAGAGTTAGTCGGGCGCGTGCTCCACTTCTGGTGGGGTAAATTTCCGGTGGCGTTAAAGGCCGGTCCCAAACGAACGTGCGTGGAGGCTCCTGCGTGCCGCCTTCGCTTCACCCGTCATCTTTCAGACGAGTACTTCCAGCACGTGGCCCTGTGATTCAGTCTGGCTGCAGGTGTCACAGCAAAAGTTTCGCGACAGCTTGCGGGGAGTTCCCCCGTGTTGTTGTGAGAGACTCTGTGATGCCCTGCAATCCTGCGCTCGCAGGAGGCGACGCTACGAAGGAGTTGCGCCAAGCGCGTTTCCACTCACTGCTGGAGAGACCCTGGAAGGCGCGACTGCTTGCCTCTGACTGGAGTTGCATGAGCCCGGTCCAGCTGAAGAGGGAGATGTGGGACAAAGATGGGCATGCTGGGTCCCAGCTTTCTAAAAGAGCTTTTTTTCTTTCCTTACTAAAAAGCAACAGGAGACCTGATGTGTTACTATGAAAGAAGCGATTCTAGAAAGCCATTGGCCTCATCTCCCGAGATGAGTTGCGTTCAGTGAAACCTGCCTGCCAAGCCAGGTATTAAAAATTGTTTATTTAGTGTTTGCAAAATCTAAGTGACAAGAATGAACGTGTTTTATTGGCGCAACAGAGGAGATGGCAGAGAGCCAGAGGCCCGACTGCCGCTGCCTTGCTCAGGCGAGCTGCTTCACGCCTGCGCTGCTGGTCGCCCGCCTGTAAAACAGGAGTGAGGCGTATCCACTCCGATCCCCAAGCAGCGTTAAGAATCATAGAGAAATGGGGCTGGAAGGGACCTTGGAAGGTCCCTTAGTTCAGCCCCCTGCCCGGGGCAGGATCTTTCCCTATTTAAGCCCTCCCATACAACAGAGCAAGTTTTATGAATACCTCCCTGCCCCCCAGGGCTTAAGTTGAATTCATTTCTTTAGCCCCCTCGGTGCCTGGCAGGGAGCGAGCCAGTCGAGGAAACGCTACATCTGAAACACTGAGGCTCAGATCTGCACATCCCTGTCTGCCTCTGCACGAGCGGAAGCCGAGGCAGTGGCCTGCGCTGACTCCCTGCTGCGGAGCAGCCCTCCAAGCTGGGGTCTAAGCTGGAGGGGCCAAGACCCAGGCCAGGCCCTAAAGTGAACTGCAAACCGAAGGAGCTGCAGGCAGGCAGGAGCTTGGTGGCTGGGTTTATTCATGGCTAAACAACGGGTTGTCACTGTGCCACAAAGTCCGGGCGGTGACAGGGTTCGCCAGCCCTGGCTGTGTGCACTCAGGTGTTGCCAGCGGTTGGACCAGATCCCCATTCATACCAGGCAGACGGTCCCCTGGACAGCAGCTCCTAGCTCAGGTCAGATGCCATCTTCAGCTAAACAGAGACTTCCCCCTTTGCTTGGACAAGTCCTGGGCACCGTGCGCTCCCAGCTGCGAGTCAGGAGGGATCTCCCTGTGCTCTCGGCGCCAGTCCCCGTCTCTGGCCCAGCCTGCTCAGTGGGGAGCAGTCGTGACCCTTACAGCCACCCCGAGCGCGAGGACGGCGATGGCGGCAGCGACTGCCAGCCCGCGCCAGAGGACGAGCTGTTTCGCAGACAGAGCCTCGGCCACGGGCGGGCACGCGGGAACAGCTTCCTGGAGCCTCGGCCCTTCGAGCTTAGTGAAGCCAAGCAGGACGACGCTGCTGTGGGCCCCAGCCTCCCCTGGAGCACAGTGTGGGCAGGTGGTTACTGCAGGTAACCTCCCACCGGTGGCACGGGGCTGGGTTCAGGAGCAGGGGGCTGTGGGGTTGCTGAGCTTCTGGGACGCTCCTCTCCAGAGCCTCTGCCTGCATCGGTGCTCGCACTGCTCTGCTCCCTGCGTGGGGTTTCTGCCTCCCCCTATACCTGGCTTCCCGTAGCGAGAGTGGCTGCTTCTCCCTCCTCCCCAAACTGCAAGACCAGCCCTGCAAGCCCTTTCAGCTCGCCTCCCTGACGTCGTCCACGAGAGCAGGCAGGGATGGGGCTCCTGCTGCCCTCTCTGCTCCTCCCAGTGCACGAGTTATTCCAAGACCCCTGCAGCCCCCTCCGCTGCGTGGGGGTTATCGGCTTGCCCAAAGCTGAATCTGCCCCCAGGACCCCTGTCCCCCACTTTGTATTTTGATTCCCAGCACAACTTGCTGGGGAAAACACAAACCCTCCTGCGAAGCTCCTTCCCCCCCCATGCACAACCTACCGGGGCTGCCAGAAGAGCAGGCGTTTTAAGGAGCTCCTGTGAATAGCCTCTCATTCAATGAACTTTTAGTGAGATGGGATCTGAGCGGGCAGGTTGAGCAACGCTGCCCCGTTAACAGCCATGCTTGTCCCATACCTGGGAGGGGAGCCTGCTTGGAAGGGATAGGAGCCGTGTTCAAGTCCTCAGCCATCTGCTGGCTCACGCCTGCCCGCCGTTGAGCCTAGGGAGAGAGGTGGGGTGCGGGTGAGCTGCAAGAAAAGCACAGTTGTCCTGCCGAGTGATGACCGCGGTTCAAACGTGCTGGCTTCCCCTCGGGATGATGGCGGGCGGCCGGGATAGCTATCCTGAAGGAGTGCGAACCTGTAGGTTGCGTGTGTGCTTGGAGCACATCTGTGCAAGCAGGGCCAGGCCTGAAGGGTGGGGAGCAGTTTAGACTGCGTGTTTTATCCCGACTG